TATTACCAGAAAATTGAATAATTCTAAAATATCTTACAGTAATACAAACGGAGATATTGATTAAATGATCCTAAACCTACGGATAAAATAATTAGGCAGGGTGACTTTACACGCCTTTGAGGTGTCTAGTTCTCAGGTAGGTGAACACTTACATTGTGGTCGTCTGGGATATCACCATGATCATTGAAAATTGCTCTGAACATTTCAGAACGTAATATTATATTTCAGCATCCTGTTGCATTGAGACGTAACTTATAGTCTTGTCTTCTTTCCATACAACAATATTAATTTAAAAACATTAATTCACAATTAATTCACTAAATGTCCATTAAGGGTTTAAGATGTCATTAACACTATTAAAATATATGCGCATTCAGTGTTTATGCTACGAGTTTCAGCCGCATAGGGCCATCTTCAGGCAACGTATATTTTAAAGGAGGCTACTGCACTGTGCACTTGGTCATATGGTATTCATTAAGGCACGTTGTTTTTGGTATCATCCATTTTTTTAATCCTGATGCTGTAGGTTGATTTTATATGATGATTTTCTTCCTACCTTATATATTGCGGCTGTTTTCGTGTTCCATTGGGTGTGCCACTCGCTTAGTTGTGCTTATCTAATGTTGTTTTGTGCCCCTTCTATGCTTCTAATGCTGTAGGATGATTTTATATGATGATTTTCCTCCTACCTTATATATTGCGGCTGTTTTCGTGTTCCATTGGCTGTGCCACTCGCTTAGTTGTGCTTATCTAATGTTGTTTTGTGCCCCTTCTATGCTTATAATGCTGTAGGATGATTTTATATGATGATTTTCCTCCTACCTTCTACCTACCTTAGTTGTGTGTATGTAATTTTGCTTTGTGCCCCTTGTACGGGTTGCGTAAGCATTACTCTCCTCCGAAAAGCTGCCAGGGATCAAGCAGAATAAACGGTATCATATCCTATAAGGAAGCTTTATGCATCCGCAATATAACTAATGATGTAAAACATAAAACTGTGAATGTGACTTCAATATTAAGTTATTACGTAGGCTGTCTTCTGAGAAAAGCAATAAAATAAAATATTTAGACCTCTGCAAGCAAAACGAGAAGAATTTCCCTTCTATGTTCATGTTCTGCTGGAATATTCTGAAGTCCCTCGAACAGCAGAACGTGAGTTGTGTCGGGGGCCATGGTATTCTCCTTCGAGTTCCTTCGTGACTTCCATTACAGGTCTCTTATCCATTGTTTCCAGCACCCCCTTCTCGTGTAGTAGCTACCAACAGATTTTGGCCCAGCCAGCAATACCATCTTCTGCTGCAGTTCTTCTTAACGCAAAAGCGTTACAACTCTCATCTTTCATGTGTCGTGTCAGCATTTTTCGTTGGCTGCAAGTGGCTCCGGGTTCCATTTGCACTGGCGGTACGTGTGTACTTGTTTTCGGTAAGCCAAAGCCGGCTCTAGGCTCTATTATTTCTTCACTGGGGACGGTGACGGGGTTAAAACTGTCGGAGCAAGAAACTGATCATATATTTGAACTGAATGATAACAAGTAAGCTTGAGTTTAAATTTCTCTTAATATCTAAGTTAATTTAGTTTATATTTGTTCCTGCAGTTAATACATGGGCCTGTATAAACTTTGACAAATTTTCGAAGGTTTTACAACTTACGCTGTCTTTATGCTATAATTTCGTCCTGCTTTCCAGTTTTGCATTATAAACTTACTTCATTTTTTCTGCATCTACTTCTAGATGCCTGAATGTTACAATTTCGGTGCTTTTCTGTGTCATTTTTTTTATTTTGCCCAGTAAATTAACGCCGTTAGCTTAGATCAAAAGCTGATATAATACACACTATTCCAATAAGCTATTTCCGTATGTTCTTAGGCTTGCGTAATGGAATATTCCATACCGAGGCTAAAAACTCTACAATTAAAGCAGGCCCGTTTTTCAGACTGTTCTGCTTGGAAAGGAATTTTTATCTACACGAACTGCATAATACATATTTCTTATGAATACCAGGAATCTTCTTGTGGGTAAACGGCGGCCGGCAAGTAAGACTGACAACCTCACCGCCATCTTTGAGTCGATTTTCCAGAAAATGTGGTAGCCTATGGACCTCCACGGCCTGTTACAGGGATAGCTTTAGTCTCTTATTTTTTTGGGCCTTTTCAGACACAATTTCATAATCTTAGTTGCATGCCGCAGGAATTATATATCACCCCCAATATGGCAGAGAATATCGGATACAGAAGTTCGAAAAGGATGGGTTATGTGATTAGACTGAATCAGTAGAAGTGGGAAACGGAATTTGCTAGGAAATAGGGGAAGGGGGAAATTTGAAAGTCTAAATTGAGGTGGCTGCAAAACGTTGAGAATTAACTAGAACTAATAGTGAAAAAGACGGAAGGAAAATTCGAAATATGTAGAAAAATGGGTGATCTGTCTTAGAGGTAGCCAAGGTTTTGAGTGATTCGTAGAGTGACGGAGTGACTAGCTTCGTGGATGGAAACTTCAGATTCGTTTGCGGAAGCTGCAAAGTACAGTGGCTCTTCCGCTTGCGGCAAGATGGATCGGTCAGTAAAGAGAATAACTGCACTTACCTTCCCAGAGCAGAATTCCCGATAGGATGTCTGAATGTTTTCTGACATCCTCCGTGGCTGACAAGCCCGACCAAGAGGACCTACTAAATATATTTATTATTCCTGTATTTACTTCGCCACATTAAATTTTCATGCAACAAAACAAGTAGGCATGTAAAGGAATTGCTTATATGCATTACAATTTGTAGTTATATATTTTCATATAATTAGATAGTCACTTGTGACAAAAAAAATACAATGCTCCTAAGACAATTATCTTTCTTTAGAAACTCATTTTTTTATTTTTCCAGTATTCTAATATGAGATGCATTCTTCAATTCTATCGTTAGAAAGTCACTTTTAGCCATAAGCGTCTATTGTAAATGTAAAAAACGTAAAGCTATCCCTGTAACAGGCCGTGGAGTCCCATAAGGTTCTGAGTCGTCGAGGCTCTCACATTTTCTAGACAATCGGCTCACAGATGGCGATAAGTTTGTCGGCCTTACGCGCCGGCCAACCTTTACCCCCAAGAAGATTCCTGGTAATCATTTCTGTTAGAGGCTGAGTCGACCCCTGAGCCAAAGTGCGGCTGGAAGAATTAGGTCAATTGAAAAATTCAATGACCTTATCGGGAGAAACCCGCAACCTTCTGGTTTATAGGGTAGTGAATAAAGTAGCTTGGATTACTAAAATACAATTAAACACGTGTGTAGATTTCGTCCGGTCAAAATTTGCTGTATTTTACATAAAAGAAAGAACCACAATATATTTTCTCTCATGTCAAATATACAAGTTACAACTATTTCACATTGTTGTTCAAAGACACTTACAATATAATTATAATTATTATTATTATTACCTCTAGTTGATTTTCTTAATGTTTATTTTCACTTCTTCCTTGACCTTCTTCTTACGTTTAAAAGCCTCTCTATATACGTATGTGTGTAGAAAAATGCTGTTTTTACTCTCACATGTTTTACTCCTCCATCTTTGCTACAAAACACTTATCGTCTTATTAGTTAAAAACAAAATAGAAAGGCCGTTCAAAATGCATTTCTCTTCTTGGAAATCATGTGACGACCAGCTGAAACTTCGTGTATTTATATAAGTAATAATTATAATATGTATAAATTTATACAACAGATAAATAAGTCCACGTAGGTAGAAACCATTTTCACGACTGTTGAAAGCGTGAAGAGTTCCAATTTCTTTACGTGTTCATATATTCGAATGTTGTCAAAACACTTCGTGAAAAACAACCTTCCTTCTTGCACAATAATCTGATGGAAACGTTTTAGTATTATCCATTTCAGAAACTAATAATTTATTGCACCCACTTTTAAAAATGGTTTCTATTTACCAAAAATTACACTTAATTCCTTTATTTGTTCTTTTTATTCATATTTCCTCTCTTACAGAATATCGAATTGAGAGATAACTTTCTCTTTAGTCGATTATTATTTAAAAGAAAATAAAATAATTATACCCTGTTTTATAGGAATTAATTACACATCTAAATTGCGGTATATTAATGTGATGTATTTTCTTGCAGCGTTTCATTGCTAACAAATATATTCTATTTAGGGCATTAACTGGTACATGTCAACGTAACACCCATATTCATTCTTGGAGCAGTAACACTGAACTTTCAATCAGAAACGAGGAGCAATCTTTTACAAATTTTCAGGATGATTAAATTTTCTGCATATTAAATTCTTTTATCCAATGCAACCGCATGAACCAAACGCTCTTATGACGTGTCATATCCTTGTAACTATCTAGCCATTGTTTCTTTTATATCTCGTAAAATATTTCTAAGTTTTAATAGTCATCAGTTAATTATTTTCGAAATGTTTAAAAATTTTAATTTCCTACATAATAAAAAGTGTCATATATTTTTTATTTCTAATAAAAACAAATTCTGAAGAAGGATTCTATTGACTTACTAATATCTGATTTATGTGTAAAGTAACTGTTTTGCTATTATAACTTTTTTTTTCAGTTTATGGTATAATTGTCTGGAAAATATGTGTGAAAATGTAGAGAAAATGTTTCATGAGTGTAACATTGTATTCACCCGTGACGTGCATACAACATTCGATATTCATTTGTCCTTTGCATGTAATTCTTCATTAGATGTACAACTATCCGTCCAGTAAGGGAATAAATACTTAGTCCAGCATTTCCTCTATATCACCATATCACCATAGCTTTCCTAGCAGTTAGAAAAAGAAATGTTACATCTCTGGTGGGCATAATTTTTTTTAAATTTGTTACATTATCATATTCTCTGATTAAAATTAAGAATATGTTATTTCATTTTTGTTTCAGAGATGTTCCATTGAAGATAAAATTCCATCGTAATATCTAGGGCAGGATTTTATGTGTTTCGATAACGATCATTCTAGTTCATTTTGGATATGACCTGAACTCAAAAATATTTTTTTTTATTTGGAAACCATTAAAATATGAATCTATGTGTATAATACCACTTCTTGAAAATATTCATTTTTCTGTAACATTGGAAACGGCATTGTTGTTTTATCGTTCATGAGTTTCAGTGTTTCGATATGTTTCAAGAACATACACCAACAAAAACAACAAGATTTATATACTACTGGACATTATCGCGCCGTATTTAAATAGGATCACATTCCAGTAACATGGGCACAGAGATATCCTATATCACTTTCCACGTTTTCTTTTCTCTCGTCCTTCGGTTAAATACAAACTTAAAAAAAAATTTACCTTAATAACTGAAATCACAATGTGTTTGATCAGTTTGTACAAATAGATACACACATACTTACTTACGGACACAACAGTATTTATATTACACCTCTTTGTTTTGTAAAAACGTTCATTTGAAATCGTTTTAATATTATTTCCCTAATCAAACAGGGATATATTCTCATTTCATATGAATGTTCGTTATCTCTAATGTAGGACGGTAACTCAGGTCCAGCTAATAGAGACATCTCTGATTAGAAACCGGAAACATCACTGTAATTACGATAACTGCAGACGCTCATTTTCTGCAAATATTTTTAGTACTTTCATGATCACAATTGCTGTCTCTTCTCTTTTAGTAGAAATTTTCTTCACAGTGTCTGTGATTGTTTATCAATTTACATAAACAGAGAAATAAACACTTATGTATTTTGTCTCTCATTCATTTATATAATATTATTATATGTTTTCGTTTCTTTTCATCTTCGTTAAACCGCAGGCCAAACACTGAAAAAGAAAAGGTCAACATCAGTGATATCCTCATTGCCCTGATACACTTGCTCTTGTTTTATTGTTGTGTTTTTCTACTTCGGCAAGACATGGCCACCATACAGCTCTCTGCCTGCCATTCCGTACCTATACAAATGTAGTTCTGGTTTATTTATGTCACTTTAAATGTTGCTACAGATAACAAGATGGGACATCTGGGTTCAGAACGTAGTTGAATGAGCTACTTTTTCTTGCCACATGTTGTTCGAGCAAGATATGAAACAAACAAAATGCTAATTAGATATGTCTAAGTTCTTGAAATATTAGTAAGATCAAAAGTAAATGCTTTACTTTTGCAAATGCTTTTTAATAATTATAGCTTAAAATAATGCAAAGAAAATCTTCGTAATTTTTGCTAAGTTTTCTCTGAAGCTTTATCAGGAATACAAGAGTTTTTGTTGTACGAAATATCTCTCATAATAAAACCCTGAAACAATGTCTAGCAGTCTTAAGAACAGAATTGTTGGTATACGGCGTAATATTTCATTAGGCCTAAATATATATCTGATTTTTCCTGTTTCCAAGCTATCATTGTCGAAGTAAAACAACTAGCAAAAATGGTGTTTTATAATCAAAATAATTCAGAAGAGGGATAAAGCTCCTTAAGATTAACAAATTGTGGATTGTAAATATTTTCACTGTGAATACTCATACACTCAATATTAACTTAATTTATATTTGAGCAATCATTGCACTATTCAGTCTAAATAAGTACTTCAAAATTACATAAATATCCACTGAGAAGAAAAACGGCTGCATGAAAGCAGAAATAACTCTTCTGTTTCTGACAGAAAGTAATGTTTTAACAATTCTTGTGAACGAACATTAGCGTGAAACTATTCCTAAGTGGAAAAAATCTTGCATATCTTTTGCACTTGGATTTCAACACTGTCTTGTAAAACAAAACAAAAATGGGATACAGTTTTCTTAAGCTTGGTATAGAGTACTTGAACACAAATTGTACGGAGTAAGACATGTGAAATGGGAAGAGAAATTCGACCTAACAAAGAAAAACAGACCCTACACAGTTCATACCCAGATTCAACGATTTACGTAAGTGATATTCTGTTATTGCCAAGACATTGATCGTTTCTGCTTTTCCAGACTTTGCTCTGTGACATACTCACGTTAGGAGTCCTTGGTTCGCGTCCGCTTGGTACCACGAATACTGAGGCATGTAGCCCGGGTGTGTGTGGTGGTGGGGGTGGTGTGCCGCTGGGTGGTGTGCCGGTGCAGTAGGCTTCATGTCCCAGGATACAACGGGCGGGGAGCCTGACATGCCGTGGGGAGGTTGAGGCGACATGTCGCTCACGGGGGTAGAAGACGGCGTCGGTGTCTGGGGTTGGTTTTGGTGTCCAACGTGGGGAAGGTACCCACCTGGACTGTGCTGGCTTCCTGAAGATGATCCACCTCCCCCTTCAAAAGAAGCATACAAATCCACTTAAGCTCCTTGTTGTGGTCAGGTTGTTGCTTTAGGCAGCGTCTGCACGAGCGCCCAAAATGCGTCCGTCGTAACTAACGTACTTTGCTGAGGACACCACACAGTTGCAGAATGCTGTGCGTAGTTTTTTGTCTGCAATGGAGCCAGAAGAAAGCGTAGCATTCGCCTCTCTTGTTTATTTCTACAGCGGACGTCAGGACGTTCGTTACAACGATCAAGTGACGTGCATGAAGGAATTACTTATCATTAGGAACGTAAAATGACAAAATGACACATGTTTTAGTTTTGCTTTTAAATATTCTAACCCTACAAGTGTCAAATGTTGAAAATTTCGACGTCTGCCAGAATTGGTATTGTATATCAGTGGTTTCCAAAGTGGGCTGTACCCTCCCCCTGGAGGAAGGTGGTTGCACTAAGAGGCAGGGGAAACGGCAGGGCGGCCCTGGAGTGGTGCAACTCCGAGTGCTTTGTTAGCTTATTTACGACTGAAGTGACACTAACCCGGACATTAAAAATTGTATCAGCTGATCTAGCCCATACGCAACACTGAGAATTTACTAACATTGATTATTAAATGTGGCACGTTTATTTTACTATTGTTAACTTCCTTAGTTGGTTCTGCATACCGCTGTTCTGAAGAATGCTTTTTATATGGTACGACAGGGGATACTGGAGTCGAGTTTATGGAACCAAGATGGGGGTGGTCCGAAGAAGTTTGGGAACCACTGCTATGTATGGTATTATGCGGCATCTGTCGACATTTTATCTTAAATACAAGGTCAAGAAATATTGGGAGGCTATTTTATCTTATATGGGTAGATCTACCGGAATTTTTCTATATTGTAACGTGTTGAGCCGTTACTTTCCCACGGAAACAATTTGAACAAAGACTCCATAGCAACGAATCATCATAGAACAATAAATGTACTGTTGGAAACGATGTTCTCTACGGCGGTCCGAGCCGAGATGTTATAACGGAGGCAAGTTTAGAAGTCATTTCGATCGAATATTTCCACTTTAGCCCTGGGAGTCATGGAAGGCGAAGAAAAGGAACCCAGTGCCTGGAGGTATAAGTGGGCCACCCTGTTCTTGGGGAATATAAATGCGGAAACCTGACCGTCCTGGTTGGTGGAGTCTCGAATCTGAGACAGTAAAATATGGTCATGAGACTGGCGGTACTCGGATCCGAGAATGACTGCGCTGGCGAGGACCAGCAGCAATTGTAAACAACAAACCCATCATTTTTGTCAGAGAGGATGTTACATAAGAACTATAATAGCAAATGTTCAGTTGGAAAATAAATGGTTGGTCGTGAGACTCAAAGGAACTTTGAGCTAAGACTGTTTGGCGATAAACCATCAGTCGTAGTTCAGACTCTGACACGGAGCCAGTTCAGCAGTAAGGGATTCACCATTCAGAGAGGTCCTGAGCCCAGAAGCAGAAGCCGTTACAAGGCAATTACAGTGAAGACACTGCAGGCTGGAAGAGACTTGGAGTGTGCTCCAGTGAACTGTAAATTGTGGAAATAAGCGACGGCGCTATAATTAAATGTAGTTACGAGTTGTGTGTTAAATTTGTCAATACGTCCATTATCCAGTTGAGATCCCGGGCGAGAGTCACTCATGCACCTGGCAATATCACTTGGCCATAAAACCTAAAGTAGCGGTTTGACGAGAGAGGAACAAGAGCCGCCATTTCTATAAATTACGAGTAAGGAGTTCAAATCTGGGGATTATTTGCGGACGTTTCGATGCGATCCGAACTGTCAGTTGCATTCGCCACGCAATGTGACCACTCTCTTATAGGTCCAGCCTACGAGGTAGCCCACAGGAAGCTTTTCTGAAGCCAGTGTTGCGATTCGCATATTCGTACATAATTATGGAATACAGTTCGTTGAAGCGAGAAGTTAAGTTTCATGATGGGGGGGACTAACTACTACTTTGTACAGAAGCAAAGGGAAGCTAACGAACAGAACTCCATGAATGAAACCACAGTGGTTTGAATTTCCTATTGTTTTGTGAATGAATGCATGCTGGACGGAAAAAAGGCTTAAGTCAGTCGTGAGATTTTTCCATTTGGCTCATTCATATATCCTTAAATTAAAATCGAGTCTTAAAGGAAATGAAGTACTTCCTTCTCTGATGACACATAATGATGAGAAATGACATGCTAGAAGGCAAAACTATCCTTGTAACAGGCCGTGGAAGCCGATAGGGTTGTGAGACGTCGAGGCTCCCAAATTTTCTCTAGAAAATCGGCTCACAGATGGCGGTGAGTTTGTCAGCCTTACACTCTGACCGGCCTTCACCCCCAGGAAGATTCCTGGTACTCATTTCTGTTGGAGACAGTCGAACCTAGGGCCATAGTGCGGCTGGAAGAATTAGGCCAATTGAAAAAATTCAACTAATCGGGACTCGAACCAGCGTAATTTCTTTTTGTAACATAATGCCTCAATCAGCAACGTTACCGCGTACCCCAGCGACATGCTACAAGATATAATTTGTAATTGTTACATAAATTTCCACATTCAAACAATGTTTGCTTTGTAACTTTGAATGATAAAGGATTCGGGATAGCTCAGTCGGTATAGCGACGGTCTACAGACTGGATGTGAGGGGTTCGAAACCGGGAAACTGCAATGTTTTTCCTTTCTCCACAATTTTGGGGTCCACCCAGCCTCGTATGCAATGGGTGTCGTGGAGAGTGACTCTTTCGTAGGGGGGTTAAGCGGCCGGACAGTTCTTTTTAAGTGCAAGTTTGTCAGCATCGCGTCAAACCCCCACTCTTGAAGACCAGGTATCTCTATTTATGTCTCCTAGTGACAGGATGCCCCAGTTATACCCCCAGGCACCGGGTTACCTTTTCTTCTCCTATGACTCGCGGGACTACGGTGGAGGTATTCCAACCCACGTACGTTCCGCGGTCTGCCTTATATTACAATGTGTCTGTGTTGAGAAGTGACGTGACTCTCGCATATACAATATAAATACTCGTACACAGACCTCTCAAAATCATCCAGCCAGTATGATGGCGCGGAGAGATAGCCACAGTCCCTCTGCGTAATGAATATATTATCTGTACCTTGAAAACTTTAATTTCCGGATGAGATCGCTCAATTACATTTAATTACTCGCAACGATATACTGAAATTATGTGGGGTCAGTTTTCCTAGTTGAACATCTATCGCGTAATCAGAGAATGTTAGCGGTGCTGTAGGCACCCACAGACATTCAGAAAGTAGGACTACAGCAAAGCATCACAGCGCAGGTGTGTTCTGTTTCGGAGTTGCAGATGGTTATTTCGGACCAGAACGATCTAGAATTAAACTAGATTATCGACTTTTAATAAAAAAAAGTCAATACGGAATTTAATTAAAATCCACTCGGTAATTTATGAGATAAAAATACACACATGCAGACGAAAGGACACAGCCTTCTTTACATGAGTCGATCAGTGACAGAGCATACAGTACGTTGTGTTTCTAAATTACTGTCGGGGTGTCCATGTATAGGTCACGGAAACTTCGAAAATAATTTAGAATTTCGTTGTATTGAACAGGCTGTAGAACTGCTTCTAAATACACATCTTCTTTAAAAAACGCAATAAAACATATCATTCAGGTAAAACTGTAGCAGTATTCAAACCTATATGCATGTTAGGCCTTTATATTTGTACCCCTCTCTCAGTATTTAAGACATACGCTTTTATCTTCCTGTATTTTAAGCAGCTGTGGTTGATGTTGCAAATTCAGACATGCCCCGTACTCTCCTTCCCATAGACTGGTGGACATACGCATTATCTTTCTCTTTAATTTTTCTTCTATACTTTTTTCCTTTGGCGCTGCAGTCAAAATCTGGGGATTGGCCTACCTCCACGAAAATCTCCGTTTCACTTCTGATTACCCACGCAAGGAGTTCTACTAAATATCTAAATTTAGTAGAACTCCTTGCGTGGGTGATCTGCAAGTCGCAAGGCCTCTAACTGTATACAAACACAGAAAAACGCACATATGCACAAAAACGCTAAACATCCATGCCCTGGGTGGGATTCGAACCCACGATCCCGGCTTCCGAGCGAGCGAAGACAGTACATGCCTTAGACCGCTCGGCTACCGTGACCGGTCTTCATCATTTATAGATCAGAAAATGTGGAACTCAGTAAAATATTCAAAAAAGTATTTCCGATATGGACTCATTGAATTTTCGCGTGATTTTGTACTTATTATTATTGGATGCAAGTTAACTGTGTTTTGTGTTTACATTGATTTGCAGAACTCAACTGCATGTGGAAGAGAAACCAGAAACACGACACTTAACACTAACGTCATGTCACTGACCTATGATGCCACCTCCTGGAGGCTGCGGGCTATTGGCTCCTGGTATCGTACCAGGAGTGTGGGGAGCGTTGTTGTTGCTGGCGTTGCTTGGCAACAGCCCATGTTGCTGGGGCCCTCCGTTGTTGTTACTGTTGGGCTGAGGGACAGTTTGCTGAGCAGCTTTCATCATTTTCTTGTACTTGCTTCTTCGGTTCTGGAACCAGATCTTAACCTGCAACAAACAGAACACATTATTTCATAAGCTGACGGATCGGCCATTCCTTTGGAGCCTGACTACAGAACTGCACTTTGTGACCATCTGTGTTACCAGAACGAGGCTGCGAACTAGTGACAGGGGTGGAGAGGTAGTACAGAGGACATACGAACAGTACGTAAAGAAATAGAGAAGTAAATAAAGAGGTGAAGAATAAAAGGCGGAATGAAGAGGGCTGTAAAGAAGAAAAAGGAGGTGACAGGAGAATGAGAATGAAAAAATGAGAGGTGAAAGATATGACGAGACGGGAGAAGCACAAGGCGAGGCGGTAGACATGAAGAAAATCGCGGAATAAAATATGAAGAGAGATGAAGCAGAAGAAGGAGGAGCTGAACATGAAGTAGGAAATGAAATAAAATGATGAAAAAGGGAAAACACAAGAATATGAGGTGTATACGAAAAAAAGAGGTTAGCGAGTATGAAAAATATAGAATCATGGGTCGAGGGCATGGAAGAGAGGAGGTGGAGGAAGAAAAATGTAGAAGATGAAGGGATGGAAGAGAAGTAGAAAAGTAAGCCGAGTAGATGAATTGTTGTTGAGGAAAAGAACAATAAGAAAAATAGAAATGTGAAGGAAGATGAAGCGGCGAATAAATAATAATAATAATAATAATAATAATAATAATAATAATAATAATAATAATAATAATAAGCGATTAACAAGAAAGTAACAACAAATATTTTTCTGCTTCTCTGGCCTACATTCTTCCTTTTGGAGGACGTCAGTCTATATAAATTTGTTTCCTACCTGTTACTTTGCTCTAAGAAGCTTAAACAGAACTAGCGATGCTTCTAAATTACAGAGATCCTATAGCGCACGATGAGATGATAAGACAGTAATGATTTGTATGAAGGGCCACGGCCTATTTTAAGGAGCTTTCACACAGCTTAACTAAATGCCAACTTAGTATACTCAAGTAAGGGAAGCTGAGATTCGAATTGTTTGCTAACCAGTACTCCTGTTTTTCGCTTAGTGAGGGGGGGGGGATGGAGTCCAGCTGGGTCCATTCGGCATGGCGCCACTGATTTGCCTATTGTACCTGCCCCGGATGAGTATGATGATGGAGTATTTGGTGGAATGAAGATTGGTAAGGGAAACGGAAATATTTTGAGGAAACGTACCCCAGCGCCACTTTGTCCGCCACAAATCCCACTTGACAAGACCCGGGATCGAACCCGAGCCGCCGCGGTGGGAAGCCAGCGACTAACCGTTTGAGCTATGGCGCGGCATCCAACTGCCTAAACGTCTTATAGTGGTATATGAAATATAGGCCTATCTCAGAAAATTGCCAGTGTCCAAGCTAATCCATCAGGAGGTCTGACTTTAGTTATTGTTCAGTTACATGCTTCACTGAACATGACGTTAACACAAATTTCAGTAGGAAGAAGAGCTATTATGATTCTACACGTGACATAAATTGTATTTGCTTAAAAGTTAAATTTCATTAACAGAAAAAATGAGTAATTTATATTTGTAACGGTAAAAAATAACTTATCCTACTAGTTGAACACCATCGCGTGTACGTGGAGGTAAACATCCGTTCATTCCACATGCCGACCTGAGAATTCGGCCAGTGTTACACCCGGACCGCTTTAACTTTATGGAAAGGAATTCCCTTAGAGTTTCTCTTCCGTGCACTGCTTGTCCATTCCGCAATACATTTCTCTCAACTTCTATATAAAAGCAATTAATATGATAGGCCTTCGCTTATATTCGTTGTGTGTAGTGTGTTCTGTATTGCTGGTGTAGTTTTGTGTGCTGTGCTTTGTTTGAGTGTGGTGTTATTTGTGCGTTGTGTTTTACTGTAGTGACTCTGCCACCTGGTAAAAACCCAATTAAATAAATAAATATTAATAATACGGCGGTTTTGATCGTGTCCGTCAATACGAATACATATGTTTTATGTCATACAATTATATATATGAAATATTTTGATTGCAGTATAAAGCTGCGATAATTGAGAATCTACTTGAATGGAAAAGTAGCGGCTCTGGTCTAGAAAACCGAGTTTAACGGCGATGGGGATTCGTTACGCTGACCACGCGACACCCTCTATCCGCTAAATTTCGCACTAACTTCGCCGATAAGCGGCGGTCGCTCGGTCGGTATAGTTCGCTTGCCGACTACACGCCACGGAGTTTGTTGTATAATGCTACATTGTGACATTCCTTGCTGTGCTATGTATGTAGAAAGTAAAGCCCTTAGTCCGCTATGAATATGCTCTCAGAGCAGTGGTTATGAAGATTTCTGCCAACTTCCTTTCTACTTCACGCTGGTTTATTACTTAGCTCATTCTTCGACCATGAAGATGGAGGCGACATTTTTCCCCGAAACGTACATTGACTTTTAACAGTGTTATATCCCAGGCGACAGAAATTTTCACTATGTCGTTCTTTCTGGTTTCTCTAACTCTGGGAGTATTTTGTTCAAACTGCAACATTTAACGAGAACCCTTCTTGTCTACTCCAATGAAATCCGTGTACATTAAACTTCACTTCTAGCGTAGTTGGTTGAGGCACTATGCTACAAGCCAGAAGACCTCCGGTTCGATTCCCGATGAGATGTTTGGATTTTCAATTGACCTAATCTTTCCAGCTGCACTATGGCCCTGGGGCCGACTCAGCCTCCAACAGAAATGAGTACCAGGAATCTTCCTGGGAGATGAAGGGCGGCCGGAGCGTAAGGCTGACAACCTTACCTCCAGCTGTGAGCCGATTGTCTAGAAAATGTGGGAACCTCGACGTCTCACAACCTTATGGGCCTCCACGGCCTGTTACAGGGACAGCTTCTCCTTTACATTTACCTTCTCAATATGTAGGATATAAGGTTCTCTCAGCGGTGTACATGATCGATTCTGATTATGGGATATAACACCGTGTTCTCAGCTGAAAATTAAAACACGTTTCAGAGGAAGTTGTCGCCTACTTCTTCAGGGTATAAGAAGCTAAGCAAGGCGGTATGTTCCTCCGAACTCGCCACACCGTGTTATATTCCAGCAGACACAAATCTGCTGGACAAATGTCTGTAATACTAATAACGTGGGTCCCTCGATGCCTCCATCATATCAAGGTCTACTGCAGTAGGAGCTGTTGATTAGGAAAGGACTTCCGAGCAATATGTAAGCAAAGAGTCTAGTTGCAAGTCGCGTCCGTTTGATGTTCCTACATATACATGCAATGTCACATGACTCAAATGTAGGCTGAGGCAGGGAAATCCCCCCCGTAACGCCGACAATTTAACACGTCATCAGAATTGTGACTGTCAACAAGTTTCAACTTTCAACTGGATCACACTGTTTCAGGAAAGTTATATAACTTACTTGTAGGAATTCTTAAACAAAATTGGAAATTTCCAAAGTAATTCCATATAGGCTGTTCGAGTATTAACTAGCTAAATCCATGTTGCCGTCTTCCTTCAGATGTTCAGTTACTCAAACATAAGCAAACTCAGTGGCTTTAGTCCGGAAGCGAAGTATACCGACCGAGCGACCGTCGCTTGTCGGTGACTTCAGTTACTCATTCGGTAAAATATTATGGACCTCAAAGAGACATTACCGTGAATATTGCTATCTTCTGGAACATGACACCGTGTTGTGTGGTAGATTTTTACCTCATAGATTGTTTTTTTTTTTCATTTCAGGAGTTCACCCAGAGCAGCTTCCCCAAACTGAGAAATGTGGATCTCTCAGCGTTGATACTTAAGTACAGAATTTATGGGGTCTGACGTCGTGCAGCCTTGTACACATTTACCTACCACACTTCACAGCGTCACAATTTCATATTCACTGTCGCGATGCACTCAAATTTGTTCACTTGTTTGCTTATTTCATCATAGGAACCTATCCTGAAACATTGTGAAACAATCCACAATTCCACCTCACCCCATATCTCTGAGTAGCATTTTAATATTATTCTTCCATCTACAACGAGGTCTTAAAAGCGGTATGTTAGATAGAGATCCCTCAACAGAAATATGTTCATTATTTATCTCGGATGTGCTTCTTACATGTCCCAACCAACTCATCCCCCTTTCTTAGATCGTAATCATAATATCAGATGAAACATTTCGTAACATAAATTTTCTTATCCTCTTGTTGTCCTTCTGCACAGCGGCATTTCTTGACCTAACCCAAGCATTTGATAAAGTATGGCACTCCGGTCTACTATATAAAATCAAAAACTTTTTTCCTACCCCATATTTCCTATTATTAAAATCTTACATTACAGAAAGACACTTTCAAGTCAAATACAATACAACATACTCAAACAAT